TAAATTATCTCTTAGTGGAAATTTGCAAATTGTGATCCAATACTTCAAATACAGAATGTATAATAGTCCAAATTCAACTTTGGCGATTCAAGTGAGTCTCGTTGATTCAAACATAAGTGGTTAAGCATAACATAAAAGTAACTTCACTTGAGCCTAACGTGTAACATCTTGAATTTTCTAGTCATTCTGAAAAATTTTAAAAAAAGAATGTAAAAGATTAGAAACGCGTCAATCTCAGGCCGTGGCACGTCTAAATCTAGCATGACAATGCTAAAAAAATCATTTTTATATCAAAACCAGACAATAAAACTCGGCCAACAGGCTTGGCTCTATCAAACCCAGACAATAAGTCCTTTTTTTTTTTTTTTGCTTTATCCCCCGCTGTCGACGTGACAACTCCACACATTGCCACGTCAGCGTTGGAATTATGAGTTCATTATGAATAGAAGATCAGTTTTGTATGACCATCAGTTGAAGAATCATGAATGCTATTTGTTATTTGAACATTTTTCATGCAGGTTTTGTTGACATTGAAAGCACTAATTCTTGATCAAATATTTGGGCTTGTAGGTTTTGTTGGCAGCAGGGACAGATACATCATCTGGAACAATGGAATGGGCATTGTCCCTTTTATTGAATAATCCAGAAGTCTTGAAGAAGGCACAAAAGGAAATCGATGATCACGTTGGACCAGAGCGCTTAATAGATGAATCGGACATGGCTAATCTTCCGTATTTACACTGCATTATAAATGAGACATTGCGAATGTATCCTCCGGGCCCTCTGCTAATTCCTCACGAGTCTTCAGAAGATAGTGTTATCGGAGGATATCGCATACCAGGAGGAACTATGCTGCTAGTGAACTTGTGGGCTATACAAAACGATCCCAAGATTTGGGATGATTCAAGAAAATTCAAGCCTGAACGATTTGAAGGCCTTGAAGCAACAAGAGATGGATTCAAATTGATGCCATTTGGTTCTGGGAGGAGAGGATGTCCTGGGGAAGGCTTAGCTGTGCGCATGGTCGGGCTGGGTTTGGGATCAGTTATCCAATGCTTTGATTGGGAAAGAGTTGGGAAGGAGCTGGTTGACATGGCTGAAGGCACGGGGCTAACCATGCCTAAAGCTCAACCTTTAATAGCTAAGTGCACCCCTCGCCCTGTGGGAGCTAAGCTTTTTTCTGTTTGAAATGTACTTTTTTTTCTTTATTTCTTCGATATATGTTTTCTTTAGAACATGTCTCCGCTTACTATTTTACTACAAGAGGGATTGAGAAATTAGATTGTTGATCTATTTCGAAGAATATCTACATAATTTAGTTTTTCCCATGAAAAAATATTATACAGTCAGGATTGTTTATGACCACAATTAAAGGGATAGGCATTTCCCTACATATTTTAACGTATTCTGGATTTGTTTCCATTATTATGTGATACAAATTCCTCATTGTTGTGGCTACTTTATTTTTTCTGAGTTAATTTGACAGTTTCTCACCGATAAAGTAAAGACTGCTTTCAAAGGTGTCGAGCCCTTTTCTTTGGTACAAGATCACACTTTGCAGTACGTTGCTTCCATTGCACATCTGGTCTACCAAAGTTTTGTTCACCGTCCAAGAACAATTGCATTCGCATAAGATAATCTCGAAGATATAGAGATCCTTATCTTAAATATGAGCTAAAATTAATTTGCTCTTCCTGTTGTTAATGCAAGTTAGATTTGAGATTTCTAAATCGAATACATTCTCATAAAAAGAAAAGGACAATGAATTTGGTATATGAAAACAATTGGAAATAGAGATTAATTACTGTTCAAACTGAATGAAAGCACCATTGACTTGAATTTGCCACAAGCCAAACTAGATTCTTCCATCAAATTTCTTTGCGTCACCTGACATATTTTTGTGCTTCAAGGCTCTGAATCACCTAACACTCTGATAACACTATCGGAAATTGAAGTCTATTTACTTTAATTTGTCCACATGATCCTTGTTCAGAGAAATATAATTAGACAAAAAAATTTATAAGATGGAGAAAAAAAAAAATTACATTTCTCGTCCTCGACCAACTAATGTATTTTGTGATAAGAAAGCTACTTTACACATAACCTAGTATTTCATAAAAGCACTTGTATTTTTCATTTAATGATACTTAGTGCCACCTACACTGATGTTACAACACCAGTGAAACTGAATTAGTTACTCCTAAACATATCATGATTTATTACCATGTTATTCGTGAAGAAGTTTAAGCTGGTCTCATTTGTACCGCATGTGTTCCTACAAGGGATGGTAATTCAGCTCGTCATCTTGGTCCAAAAAGAAGTTCGAGCCTACCCAGCTCGAGGCTCTGGCCGAGTCTCATTTTGGGGGGACGAGCCGAGCTCGAGCCAGCTCGTGTACCTCGTCGGCTCGAGTTCATAAAAAATAATAAAATAAAGAAGGCAGTAGCGTAGGCATCACTCGGCTACCTTTTAAGGCAACAATCTAATTTAAAAAATAGAGCTTGCCAGAGTTGAGCCTAAATTTCTTGGCAAAGAAAATTCGAGCCCAAAAAAAAGCTAGCACTATTTTACTCGAGCCGAGCCCTAACCTTGAGTTTCGACTCACGAGCTGGCTCAACTCTGCTCGTTGACATTCCTAGTTCCTACAAGGAATAATGTTTACACAAAGGCAGCATTATTAAAATATTTTTCTTTCACTCTCCACTCTTTAACTTGAAGGAGAGTACATATCTTTTAAGCAACCTTTAAACTTTCTGTAATCTTGGTTTCCTCATATTTCTGAAGCTAGCTTTATTGTCCTCGTCTATCGAGGACGAACTCTAAGGCCCTTTTCTTAGGTTTTAGTTCTAAGTCCTCGTAAATTCAAGGCCTATTGGCTAGCTCTTGCTCCATCGAAGACAAGCATGTAAGGCCTTGTTATTCGAAACAAGCTTGTAAGCCCGTTGGCATTCAAGTTGAGTCCATTAGGCCCCCTAAATCTGAGATTAGCTAACAAGCTTTCACAATTTTACCTCAAAAACAGGAGATAAGATAGGCTAGTCTCGTACCATGCCTCATTACTATTTCAATGTAATGTTAGACTCAAGATAAATGCACGGCTCATATTTAATGGACTAATGTTAAATAGAATAATTCCTGGTGTACAGGTGGGGGTTTACACCGACTACTCACACCAAGTAAGCTCCGGAGGGGTTTACATTGACTATTCACACTAGGTGGATCCCCGTGCACACCAACTACTCACCTCAGGTAGGTCCCATGCAGGATCCGCTTGTATAAAAAAATGGAATATACTAAGTACATAATTCGGTATTCATATCGGTGCTCACCCTCTCATATGGAGGGGCTGCTATTTGAAGTGGGTCCCCTTCAATGTAGGAGGGTGGATACCAGTACGAACATTTTGATATACGTATAACATCACTCATAAAAAATTAACCAAAAGTACCCACCCATCCCTCCTATTGTGAGTAGTCGAAACCCCTACCTTATACACAAAGTGGAACTCTATTAAATAAGTATTTTACATCTCTGGAATAAAAGTCCATTGCACCTGATGATTCCGGGATTGGTAACCCCGAACTCTCCTTGAGTCCGTGTATCATGATCGACCTCGACCTAGTACCCCCGAGTTGATCTTGGTGAGTTGGGCTATTTAAGGTCGGGGTTTACCCCCCAGGTCGGGCTATTTCTTTCCAGATGCTACCCGCCGACTTAATCTCCAAAAGAAAATAGACCCCACCTAAGTCTACTCCTCCCCTGATTAGAACTCTAACAGAATACTTCTAATCACACTCCAACACCTAATCCTAAGGGGGAAAGGACTCTTTCAATAATAGAATCCTTCTACAGCTCCCCCACCAACACCTATAAATACTTGGCCAAAGCTCAACACAAAGGTACGTTTTTCATTATCTTCAGTTTATAGCCTCACGCACTAAATTCCCTATCTGACTTAAGCATCGGAAGGGCGACGAGCACACACCTCATTGCCTTTGTTGCAGGTAATCACAAACCAATCGTATTCATCAAAGTGAAGTTGGACTATCAAGTTCGAGATCTTTCAGGTGACATTTTTTGGTAGCATCATTGGCGCCGTCTGTGGGAAGCGCTGCCAAAAGCCATGGTGAATACACGATCGGGTCTCCCACCAGCAAGCTCATCCGCTCCAAATCCTCCCCCTGGAGATCACCCTATCCCTCAAGAGGAATCATCAGAGATGGCAGCACCGCCACCAGCTGTCATTACCACTGGAGCTTTTGAAGAGCTCCGCCAACAAGTTACTACATTGAGTCAGTTATTAAGCCAAAGAAACTCACACCCATCACACACACCAACACCGGATGGCGATCTTATAGCAGCCGCTCAAGCTCGAGCTCCACGAAACATCCTTGATAATGGTGTTGGAACCTCGGGTGTACCTCCTATGACCACAACATCAAGGGCAGTAACGATAGAATTAGGGGAGCTTGCCAGAATCATCCAAGAAGGTATTGCCGCGAGCCTAGCACAGAAATCAAAGGGGACAACAGGCTTTACCCCTAGCACCCCCTTTACTCCTGAAGTACTATCCTACCCCCTTAGGTTCAAGTACCCCAGGATAAAGGAGTATGATGGAACCACTGACCCTATCAACCACCTCAATATATATACCGATATTATGAACCTACAAGTCGCACCTGACGCTGTAATGTGCAAAGCCTTCCCTCAAACTCTTACAAGCGCAGCTAGAGATTGGTTCTCCACATTAGAGCCAAATTCTATCGCCTCATTCGCAGACTTGGCCGATAAATTCTCTGCTTTCTTCGCAAGCAGCAAGAGAATTAGGAAAACAGCGGCATCACTTATGCAGATGCGCCAGGGACCCAATGAAACATTACGCAATTTCATGACCAGATTCAATAAAGAAAGACTTTAGATTCCCGATCTACATATTATAGCTGCGGTCTCAGCTTTGACATACGCTATAAGATGTGAAGCATTCAAAATGTCTTTGTCGAAACCCCCCCGAAGTCAGTAACTGACCTCCTAACTCGAGCTAAGAAATACATCAATATGGAAGAAACTCTAACCCCAAGAAAGGATGTCTCACCTTCGCTAAGGCCAGACAATAAGAGACCGCGTGAACACAATCAACGAGACGATAATCCTCGGGTCAAGCAAAAACAAAACCCCCGACAGGAAACTTTTACTCCCCTGAATACATCAAGGTCCAACATCCTGATGGAGATCAAGGACCTCAAAGAGCTTAAGTGGCCTCCCAGAATGCGATCATTACCTGAAAACAGAGACAGGACCAAGTACTGTGACTTCCACCGAGACCACGGACATACCACTGAGGGGTGTTTCGCTCTGAAGCAGCAAATTGAGGCCCTCATCAGGAGGGGTTTTTTGGGCTCTTACACTAGCCATGAAAAACGCCCGAGGAACAAGCAGAATAACATACATGAGGGGCGTAGTAGTGAACTACCAACAGCTGGCACTATTAACGTTATTATCGGAGGAACAGCTTCAGGGGGAGACACCAACAATGGACGTAAGAAGTACGCCAAATAGCTTCCAATCTCTCCTGGCATGGATCTTGCTCATACGGAAGATATCACCTTCAGGTCCAAGGATTTGGAAGGAATATCCTTCCTCCATGATGACGCCCTGGTCATATCAGCCATCATAGCTAACTTCGAGGTCAAGAGAATTCTCGTGGATAATGGAAGTGCAGCTGATGTACTGTCTCATGAAGCTTTAGTTCAGATGGGTATCTCAGTGGAACAACTCAAGCTTGTTAAAACACCCCTACAAGGATTTGGTGGTGGGGTCATCACCCCTGAAGGTATTGTTGAATTACCTATGACTTTGGGATCTGAAGGTCGGCAGGTAACCCACATAGTAACTTTCGAAGTTGTCCGAACTCCGATGGCCTATAACGCCATTCTGGGAAGACCGTTGCTAAATAAAATCAGAGCTATTATCTCAAATTTTCACCTGGCGATGAAGTTCCCCACATATAGTGGAGTTGGAGTCGTCCGAGGAAGCCAAACCATGGCTCGCCAGTGTTATGTGACCAGTGTCCGAAAAATAAAGGGCGACGTCATGCAGCTTACAGAGCTCGAGCTTGAAAATCGTGGGAGACTTGTCCCGGTAGAGGAGCTGGTCGAGGTCGAGCTCGTGCCTGGTAGGAAGGTGACAGTAGGGCGTGATCTTGATTCAACCATCATGGCCAAACTCATAAGTTGTCTCTCCCAGAACCAAGACGTATTCGCATGGACAGTTGAAGACATGCCCGGAATTGACCCCGAGGTTGCCGTACACCGGCTCAATGTAAACCTAGGAGCCAAACCTGTCAAACAAAGGAAAAGACAGTTTGCGCCTGAACGGCGCGAAGTCATACGAGAAGAGATTGCCAAGCTGCTCAATGCACAATTCAT